CGGATGACCATGCATGGGAAACGAAAAGGCGAGAAAGCCAAACACGTTGATTTTGCCTAGATGTTTGAAGGATTTGGGTCTGTTGGGGGCCTCCTTGGAGAGCTCGTTGGTCACTTGGAGCCGTCTCGAGGCGGTCTTGGGGCCTCTTGGAGCATTTGGAAGCCATTTTGAGCGATGTTGCGCTATCTGGAGCCATCTTGGATGCCATCTTGCACTCTCTGTGGCCCTCTTGGAACCATCTTGGGCCATCGTGGACGCTCCAACTACCCGCGTCCACCCCCGTCAATGTCCAGGGGAGGGGGTAATGGGGGCCTCCTCCTCCTCTTCCTCCTCCTCCTACTCACTCCGCCTCCTCCCCCTCCTCCTCCTCACCCATCCTCCTCTTTCAATCCCTTCTCCGATGAAGAGGGCGAGGAAGATGAAAGGGGAGGGACGGGGAGGAGGAGAAGGAAAAAGAAGAGGTGGAGGATACTGAATAGGCAAACACCGAGGAGGATGAACGCTTCAGCCAATGCAACTGCATTGAGGTGAGCGGTGGAGAAATATTGGAGAGCTAAAAAGCGATGAGAGACGCGTTGGAAAAACACGCTGAAACCGCCCAGGCCTTTATACAGGCTGGCGCCCCTCCCTCCCCCTCCCCCACGTCCTCCTCCTCTTCCGTCCTGCCTCGCCCTCGTCATCCTCCTCCTTCTCGTCCTCCTCATCCTCCTCCTGATCCTGCTGTTCCTCCTCCGTGTCATCATCAGCATCATCACCACAAGCATCATCATCATCATCATCATCATCATCATCATCAGCATCATCATCATCAGCATCATCATCAGCAGCATCATCATCAGCATCATCATCATCATTAGCATCATCATCATCATCAACAGCATCATCATCATCATCATCATCATCATCAGTATCAGCATCATCAGCATCAGCATCCGTGTCATCATCACCACCATCATCATCACCGCCATCATCATCATCGCCACCATCAGCATCATTAGCATCACCATCATCATCACAATCGTCATCCTGTTCATCATCACCATCATCATTAGCAGCATCATCATCACCATCATCGTCATCATCATCATCATCATCAGCATCATCATCATCACCATCATCATCATCATCATCATCATCATCATCATCATCATCATCATCATCCATCAGTCTTCTCCACCTCCTTCTCGTCTTCCTGCTCGTCCTTCCTCGTCCTGCTCCTCCTCCTCCTCCTCCTCCTCCTCCTCCTCGTCGTCCTCCTCCTCCTCCCTCCGCTTCCCCCTCCTCCCTCCTTCATCCTCCTCCTCCTCCTCCTCCGCCTACTCCTCTTCTCCTCCTCCTCCGTCCCTCCTCCTCCTCCTCCTTCCTCCTCCTCCCTCCTCCCTCTCCCCTCCTCCCCCTCCCCCCCTTCTCCTCCTCCTCCTCCGTCCTCCTCCTCCTCCTCCTCCTCCTCCTCCTCCTCCTCCTCCGCCTCCTCCCTCCTCCTCCTCCTCCTCCTCCTCCTCCTCCTCCACTCCCTCCTCCACCTCCTCCTCCCCCTCCTCCCTCCTCCCTCCTCCTCCTCCTTCTCCTCCTCCTCCTCCTCCTCCCTCCTCCTCCTCCTCCTCCTCCTCCTCCTCATCCTCCTCCTCCTCCTCCTCCTCCTCCTCCTCCTCCTCCCTCCTCCTCCCTCCTCTCTCGTCATCCTCCTCCTCCTCCTCGTCCTCATTCCTCCTCCTCCGCCCTCGTCCTCCTCCTCCTCCTTTCTTTCCGCCTCATTCTCCTCCTCCTCCTCCTCGTCCTCCTCCCTCCTCCTCCGCCGCTACACCTCCTCCACCTCCTCCTCCTCCTCATCCTCCTCCTGCTCCTCCTCCTCCTCTTTTGCCCCTCGTCCCTTTCCCTCCTCCTCCCTCCTCCTCCTCCTCGTCCTCCTCCCCCCCCGCCTCCTCCTCCTCCTCCTCCTCCTCCTCCTCCTTCTCCTCCTCCTCCTCCTCCTCCTCCTCCTCCTCCTCCTTCCCTCCTCCCCTCCTCTCCTCCCTCCTCCTCCTCCTCCCTCCTCCTCCTCCTCCTCCTCCTCCTCCTCCTCCTCCACCTCCTCCTCCCCTCCTCCTCCACCCGTCCACCACCTCCTCCTCCTCCTCCTCCTCCTCCTCCTTCTCCTCCTCCTTCTCCTCGTCCTGCTCCTTCTCCCCCCCCTCCCCCTGCCCTCCCCCTTCCCCTCGTCCTCCCCCTTGTTCGTCCTGTCTCGCTCTCGTCTTCCTCTTCCTCCTCCTCCTCCTCCTCCTCCTCCTCCTCTTCCTCCTGCTCCTGACCATGCTGCTCCTCATCCTTATCATCATCAACATCATCACCACAATCAGCATCATCATCATCATCATCATCATCATCATCATCATCATCATCCTCATCCTCATCCTCATCCTCATCATCATCATCATCATCATCATCACCACCATCACCATCACCATCATCATCAGCATCAGCATCAGCATCATCTTCTTCATCATCATCATCATCATCATCAACATCATCATCGGCAGCATCATCAGCATCATCAGTTTCATCATCATCAGCATCATCGTCCGTATCATCGTCATCATCATCATCAGCATCATCATCATCATCGTCATCGTCATCGTCATCATCAGCAGCATCACCATCATCATCATCATCAGCACCATCAGCATCATCATCATAACCATCATCATCACCATCGTCATCCTGTTCATCATCACCATCATCATTAGCATCATCATCATCCCTCCGTCTTCTCCCCCTCCTCCTCCTCCTCCTCCTCCTCCTCCTCCTCCTCCTCCTCGTCCTCTCCTCCCTCCTCCCCCCCTCCTCCTCTCCTCCTCCTCCTCCTCCTCCTTCCTCCTTCTCCTCCTCCTCCTCCGTCCTCGTCCTCGTCCTCCTCCTCCTCCTCCTCCTCCTCCTCCTCCTCCTCCGTCTTCCCTCCTCCTCCGTCCTCCCTCCTCCTCCTCCTCCCTCCTCCTTCTCCTCCTCATCCTCCTCCTCCTCCTTCTCCCACCTCCCCTTCCTTTTCCTCTTCTCGTTGGGGGCTCGGGGGGGTGCCGCTGGGGTGCCGGCGCGCGGGGGGGAGAGCGCCGCCGCCCGCCCGGCGCGTGGCCGAGTTCCGGCCGAATTCGGCCACGCGGGGCGCGGACGCTAGCGCCCCGACGGTGCCGCAGAGGATGGTCGCCTCCTCCCCCCCGCCCCTCCCCTCCGCGCTTTCCTTCGCTTGGGGAGCCCGGGGTGGGAGATGGTGCTGTGGGAGGGGGCCGCCCCCCTCGCGGCCACACGGACCCGCGGCTGAGGCGTTGTGGGGGGGGGCCGGACGCGCCCATCCCACACCCCTTGGCGGACGGGGGCGCCGCGCTCCCCCGTGAAAGGTACCCCTGGGGCAGCGGCGCCCCCGGCTCCCCAAGGCGCGGGAGCCGAAGGCCCAGGGGGCGGATGTTGTCCCGCGCCGGGGAGTCGCCCGGCCCCTCGGGGAACCCCCGGGGGCCGTCCGGAATAACATAGTCCGAAACATAGTCCTCCTCCTTGTCCCCCTCCTCCTCCTCCTCCTCCTCCGTCCTCCTCCTCCTCCTCCTCCTTCTCCTCCTCCTCCTCCGCCCTCCTCCTCCTCCTCCTCCTCCGCCTCCACCTCCTCCTCCTCCTCCTCCTCCTCCTCCTCCGCCTCCGCCTCCGCCTCCTCCTTCCCCTCCTCCACCCTGCGGCGGCGAAAAACGTCGCATCGAGGTCTCGGCACGCGCTACGCCGCTCCCTCCCTGCCTCGTCGGGCCGCGGCAGCCCGCCGGCGCCCCGCCCCTGCGAGGCTAACGACAACCCAGATCTCGGAGTCGGGGCCTGTCAGATTCGAAGAAGAAGCAACTGCATAAACACAAACTTTTGGCCCTCCCCGCGGATTTCTTGGATCCGCGCTGCCCCCCCCCCCACACACACACACCCCACAGCGCCGCCCCCTGGCGCACTCCACGCGCCAGGGGGGAGGTCTCCAGGCCAGATCCGAGAAACCCGCGCGGAGGGCCAAAAATGTTTATGCCGCTTTGTTTCCTCTACAGATGGGGTCGGCGCAGATGGAGTCGGAGGATCGCGCCACATCGCCGATGCATTGCCGATGCGGGTCGATGTGGAACCCGATTTGCTTCACGTCGACGTCGCCGTTGCAACGCCGATGTCGACGAGGCATCGCTAGTGCATCGCCGATGTATCGGCGATGCGGCGCGATCCTCCGACCCCATCTACTCCGACCCCATCTGGGAAGCCTCTACGAAGGGGTGCCCTTTCGGCCCTTGGAGGCTTTTCTGGGCCCTTGAATTATGAAGAGTGGGTCCAGGTCGACCCTCGGGGAGTGAAGCGGTCGTGACCTTAACGGACGTGGACCGGAAGAACCAAATCTTCGGATTGTCACGGAAGCGCACGGCCCACCGAATTGTTGTAGGACTTGGGGGGGCCCAGCCGCCGGAGGCATCCCTGGATAGCGACCCAAGCCCCCAAACCGCTTGGTTACCCCAAGCCGAGCGGCCCCCACCCCCCCACCTTACGATGTGTCTCTCTCTCTCTCTCTCGTGATGCCTCCATGGGGCCCTTGCCATTCTCTCAAAGACCTGGCCTGGCAACAAAAAAGGCTCGTGTTCTTGATCCACGATCTGGTAGCCTCGTGTCCGCTGTAGGGGAACAAGCTATGACAGAAGCATCAGAACTCGAAGGTCCGCGCGGATTCCTCGGATCGGCATGGCGGCCCACTGGCGGCACTTCCAGAGCCCACCTGAGACATCCGCGCGGACCTGTGGGCTTTTTTGTGTCTATGTCTTTGCTCGCTTTGAGTCGGGCATGTCCCTCTACAGGAGGAATCTCTCAACATAGTAGTAACAAAAAAAAGTATGGGGACAACCTTCTGACTATTTTCGATCATGTTTGAGGATGCGCTGCCAATGTTTTATTTTTCGTCCAGTCCCAAACCAGCCTGGAGGAGGACATGCCCGACCTAAGTCTGAGTCCTTGCCCGCTCCCTGAAGGAGGGCGCCGCAGAGGCGAGCTCCCCGGGCTCCCGCCGAGGCTCCGACGACTCGGGCTCGGACCGCGAGGGGGGAGGCCCGCCGTAGAGGAAGCGGGCTGCGGGGGGGGGGGACTCCTCCTTCTCCTTCCTCCTCCTCCTCCTCCTCCTCCTCCTCCCTGTCCCAGGGCCCCTCCGGAACCCTCCGCCTCGTCCTCCTCCCAAGGGGGGGATGTGGGCTCTGCAAGGTTCTGGAGGGGATGTGGGTTAATTGGAGGGTTCTGGAGGAAGCGGCCGCTGGGAGGGATGTTCGGGCCAGACGAACGGGGGGGATTGGGAAAGGGGGGGTTAAAGAAATCTGGTGCATGCAGCTGGTTTCGGCCCCTCCGAGGGGCCCATGCTTCGATACATAGCCGCCTCCGGCGCCGGGAGGCGCCGGGAAAATCAGCTACGTGAGCTGCTTCTCAAACCCCCCCTTTGCTATCCCCCCCTTTCGCCCGGCCCGAGCTGCGGGTTCTGGAGGGTTCTCCCCGGCTCCTGCCCCGCGGGGCCCCGCGCACGGCCGCAGGACCGCCAAACGTCGATTTGGGAGGGAGCTCTGGGGGCCAGGGCCCATGTCCACCGGGAACCCTCGTTCGCTCATGCCAAAGAGGGAGCGCCTCGCGGTCGACCCGGTGCCGACGACGTCGGAGCCGCCGGAGCCGGAGCAGCATCCTCGGCGCCCTCGCCGCCCACTTTGTGACGGAGAGCGAGGAGTTCACGGACGACGAGGCCTCGAAGGCGTACCTGACCAGCACCTTCAAGTTGGGCCCGCTGAAGGGCGTGGAGGCGTTCCGAATCTGGAGGAAGTCGGGGGGCAACGCTCGGGGGGGTTAGGCTCAGGATCGGGTGCATCCACCCACAAATTGCCCCTTGATCGCCGACAGGCGCCTGATGACCCACCCCGCCCGGCCTTGTACGGATTCGCTGTCGGGGACCTGTGGCAGATCTATCGGTCATGTGTCGCCGATTCGCGGTCGCTGCTTCCCCCCCCGAGCAAGGGCGCCCCCCTGACGCCACCCCTCAGGAAGGTGTTCGAGGCCCTGAAGGTGGACGGCGAAGTGCACCATACGGACCTCACGCGAGCGCTCCAGATGGCCGGCTTCCAGGCGCCGGACCAGGCGTGCGTCTGCGCGGCCAAGGAGAGCGTGACCCACTGGTCCACCCTCACCAAGGCGCAGTTCAACGAGTTCGCGGTCGCCTTCGAGAGGGAGAACGAGAAGCTGCAGGATGCAATGTTCGCCAAGTTCGACATCGACGGCTCAGGCCAGATAGACAGGGGCGAGCTGGAGAGCCTCTTGGAGAACTTCGGCATCGTCCCGATGCGGCATATTCTGGACGAGGTTCTGAACGAGGTCGACGAGGACGGCTCTGGCAACGTTGGCCTGGACGAGTTCAGGAAGGTATTCGAGATTCTGCGCATGCGTGAGGGCTTCTCAAAAGAGGAGTTCAGCGAACTGACCGAACTGTTCGATAAGTTGGACCTCGATGGTTCTGGCGAGATGGACATTCGAGAGTTGACGGTCCTGCTCGGGTACCTCGATTACAATCTAGGCACGAACGAGCGGGACGTCATAGTGAAAGAAGTCGACACCGACGGGAGCGGAGAATTGTGTGAGGTCGAGTTCTTGCTCTTCATGAGGAGGTGCCGCCAGATTGAGATGAGGAAGCTGACGGACGCCTTCAAGAAACTTGTCCCTGAAGCGGACGGGGTGGTCTGCTTCCACCACATGATCGACACTTTCACGGAGATGGGCTACGAGGTTGACGTAGACGCCACCTGGGAGGCTGCCCAGAGTGCCGGCGTCACCAGCAAGGAGGCCCGCCTGGATAGCAGCGACTTCTGGAAGGTGCTCACAGAGTGCCGGGCGCGCGAGTGGTTCACCAGTCAGGAGTTGCAGCAGATCGGCGACATATTCGAGCAGGTCGACGTGGGAGGAAGTGGCGAGGTGGACATCGTCCAGGTAGACAAGGCCCTCCTGGGGCTTGGGCTGTCGCTTAGGACCGAGCTGTTCCTGTACCTCGTCGGCAAGGTCGACCTGGACAACTCTGGGATGCTGAACCTGATGGAGTTCCGAAAGCTGGTCAGGATGTACCGCAACGGGCAGGCAGAGCTGGTGCGAACGACCTTCGTGGAATTCGCGGACCAGAACAGCCGCTGGCTCAGCGTCGCCGACTCCTGGAAGGCCTTCAACAGCCTCGGGCTCGTGAAGGACAGCATCAAGAGCTTCCACGAAGTCCAGGCTCTGGGCCCCCTGGACCTGCGAGCCTTCCTGCGGGCCGCCCGCAGCTTCGAGCGGGGGCAGGAGCTGTACCGGGAGCAGAACAGCGGCTTCGGCGAGCAGGCGGTGCACGACCTCGAGCTGCGCTTCCGGAAGTTCGACGCCGACGGCAGCGGGGCCCTGGAGAGCCGGGAGCTCGTGCCCCTCGTCGAGGAGGTGCTGCCAGGCGTGGCAACCTTGCCCGAGAACAGGGCGAGGGTCATGAAGATGATGGCGGAGGCCCAAGGTCGGAGGGAGGAGGAGCGACGCTGCGGCGGGCTCACACCAGATGTCGACCTGCCAACAGGTGCCCCCACGGAAGGTGCTCATCCCCCGATGGCCGCAGGGGCCCGCAGAAGCTGTGGGGCGTCTCAGGCCCCTCGTAAATCGGCGAGCCGTGTGCCCCAAGATTCGGCCACGCGCAAAGAGGGGCAGGGGCAGGAGGGAACGCTTCTTAGAGGCACCCTGCTCCTTACAAGGCGCGGGCCTTGTCTATAGCTGTAGGGCTGGCGCCTTCTAAGAAGTAGCCTCCACCTACCCCCTGTGCACGCCGACAAAAGATTCCTGATGTCAAGGTTTTTTTGTAGGTGACTACAGTACCACCACCAGCGGGTCAGATCCAGCGGGGACGCCACAGCAAAGGGATCACATCATGAGGAATATACCCTGGCTGGCTCCCAGCGACGGTGGTGGTGATGTAGGGCTTCTTTGTTCCTACAAGGGGGTGCTTCAACCGAAAGCGAGTACCTTGCGCAAGTCGAGCTGAAATCGTACAACCGCACCTTCACCCACGCCAATTCGACTCAGATCGAGCTGAATTTCCAGCAGTTTTTGAAGTTGCTTTCGCTCATACGCGGCTTCAAGCTCGAACGGCTCTACAAAGAGGAGCAAAGAGTCATCGAGGATATCCAGGAGGAGGATGAGGAGGAGGAGGAGGAGGAGGAGGGAGGTGGACGAGTTGGAGGAGGATGGGGAGGAATAGCCAGGAGCCGCCGACGATAATGATGAGTAGGAGCAAGGAGGGAAGGGAGGAAAAGGAGAATGAGGAGGCGGATGATGATGATGATGAATGTTGTTGATGATGGTGATGATGGTGACGATGATCGTGATGATGCTGATGTTGATGTTGATGGTGATGATGATGATGATGATGCTGATGCTGATAATGGTACTGTTGCTGATGATGCGGTTGATGACAATGATGATGATGGTAATGATGATGTTGATGATGGTGATGCTGTTGATGATGTTGATGGTGATTGGAGAATGAGGGCAGTGGGTGTCACTTAATGTGAGTGCTTACAGATCCACCCTCCGCTGTTTTTTTCTGGGTCGAACCAGGCAACATGAATTTCTAACGAAGTCGGTGGGGTTTGGCCCCCCAGCGTAGCATGAACACGATATTCGCCAGCTGTCTCGGAGGCCCATGCTCCCGCTGGCAAGCCAAGTCCAAACCGTTGGTGGGCGCTCGGCTGGGCTGCCTCGACTGCGCTGCGCGTCGGCCTCGGCTCGAACGGCGCCCTGAAGGCCGACTCGGGCAGAGAGGCGGTGCAGCGGCTGGGCTTCACGCTTTTTGTCGCGGTCGCGGACTCGAGTGCCACTCTCTGGCGCGCAGGGCTCTGGGGCTGGTGATGCCGCAGGCGCGACGACCAGGGGGAGGTCGAGCAGCCGCACGCCCAGCGCGCCGCCTTGCAGCCGGCCAAGCTGGAGCCGCACGCCGCAGCGGTCGCTGCCCCTGCCGACGGCGCCCCAGAGGCCTGCGGTCCAGCCATCGGCGGCATGGCGTTGCCGCCTCCGCCGCCCTTCGCGCTCAGCCAGTGCCCGCAGGCGCCCCCGCGCCCTGGGCGCCAGAGGCCGCTTCTCGGCCCAGTGATGGAGGCCTGGCCGCCTTTCACGCGTTTGGCGGAGGCGGAGGGTTGCCTGGGCCGATCTCGGCCAGCCAGGGCGTGGCCCCAGCGGCGAACGCCCCTGCCGCGCCGCACGTCCCAGGCCTTGGGGAGAGCCGCGCGCGGGACAGCGTGGGCGCGGCTCGCCTTCGCGATGCGGTGGCGCCAGGGTCAGCGGTGGATATCACGCCGAACTGGCTGATCACGGAGGCGATGACGCACTCCAAGTTGGAGCACCAGCGCGAGGAGAGGATTGGCGCCGAGCTGCAACGCCGCCAGAAGGGCGACCCGAAGGGCCCGAAAGGCGTCAGGCCCAAGGGGGGGCCTCCCCCCAAGGGGCAGCGGCGGCCATTGACGCCAGGCGCGAGAGGAGGTACCTTGGCAGCCGGGGGCACCTCCCAGGCGCAAGATACGGCTGCGTGGAGGAGAAGGAGCTGGGGGCGTTTGGCCAGCCGTCGCGCGGGAGGAGGGCGCGACCACGGTGTCTTGGCAGACGCGGCGGGCGCCGACGCCCTCGAGGCCAAATGCGACGAAGAGGCCCCCCTCCCCAGGATTCGACGAGCTGCATCAGCAGCTGCAGGACGGGCGCGCGCTGCTCCAGGACGACCTGAAGGCCGTGGGCTACCGCGTCCAGCGGTCGCCACCCGCACTGCGCTCCGACATGCGGAAGGGCTGGCTGCTGCGCGAGAGCTGCCTCTTGCGATTTCAGGTCGACTGCATCGACGCGGAGCTGCTGCGGGCCGCGGTGGGCGCCTGGCCGTGGGGCGTGGAGGGCCCTCCTCCGGCGCGAGCTGGCGTTGGCCCCCCGCGCGGCGTTCAGCACGATGGAGAAGCACGCCGACTAAGTCATCGCCAGGTGGCCGTCCGCGAGGCGCGAGGTGAGGGCCATGGTGCCCCTGGCCCCCGCGGTGGAGCACCCGCTGGACCTGCCCGCTGCGCCGCTGGTGTTCTCGACCGACGCCGAGGGGGTCAACGGCGGGGATTTCGGCGGCCTTGGGATCGCGGGGGCGCCCGCTGGCTTCGCCGAGCGGGAGGCGCTGGTGGCAGCTGGCACGCGGCCGGGCCACCACGCGGTCGCGAGGCTCGACAGCAGGGCCGGCCACCTGAACAGGGTCGACAGAGAGATCGCGAACCGCATCGGCGTCTCTAGAGTGCCGAGGAGCCTCGAGAAGCCGCCGCAGGACTGAAACGATCTAGGATCTGGGCGCTGGCGACGCCCCGACCATATCACGCTGGGCGAGGGCAGGGCGGCCCTCGGGGCACTGGCCGCGCTCGGCCGCGCCGCGGGGGCGCACGGCCACCTGGTCTCAAACATTGGAGGACAACGAGGGCCTCTCCGCGGCCACGGCCAAAGGGCACTCGTCGGCAGTGAGCTTCAATTTGCGGCTCCGGCGGCGAGCCGCCCTCAGTGTAGCTTCCGGCATCATGTTCGTGTTGCCCTGGGTGGAAACCAAGCACCAGGCAGCACATTGGCTGTTATGTCGTACATGAAGTGGCGTGGGCCCAGGCGCTTGGACTATCGCCCAGCAGCGCGGGTCATATTGCAGACCATGGAGATGTACAGGCGAGAGGCCCGAGGCCTGGCATCTTGGGCGATCGCCAACCACCTTAACCCTGTCGGCCCAGACCAGTGGGACGACGAGCTGGTGGAGTACAAGAATGCATGCGCGTCCTTACGTACACCGTCAAAGTTTTGTAATCGGTTTGCGGCCATCGAGCTGTTTTTTCCCTCGCATGAAGGTCGAGCTAAAGTGGGCACGCGCTGTACTTCGTGGTCGGGGGAAGTCACGGGTGATCAAGCACACCGTGCCGTTGGGTAAGGCGCCCGGCAAGCTGATGAGCATCTACCTGGCGCCCGCTGGGCACGGGGGGCTGGGCCGAGGCTTGGTGCTGCAGTGCCATGCGGGACTTGGGCCGTCAGAGATGCTTGGCCTGTGCCCTGAACGCATTTCCTTTCCTCATCATCGGGCTATCGATGGCAAGTCAGATCCAGTGGTCCTGGCCTTGGGAGTGCGCTTCGGTACGAAAGCGCAGCGGCCTCAGGTGGCCGTACTTCCAGGACGTCATGTCGATATCGCTGAAACCCTCTGGAGTTGCTCGCAGTTGACCCCTCCTGACCAGCCTCTCTTTCCATGCAGTATGTCTCAACATCGCGCGTTGCTCAAATCAGCCGAAGCGGCGCTGGGGCTTACGGTGGGCTGGGGCCCGCGTAGCCCGCGTGCCGGCTGGGCGACCGACTCGCGCGCCGAGGGCGCCCTGTTCGCCGAGATCCGCGAGGGCGGCCGCTGGGTGAGCGACTCCAGCCTCAGGATCTGCATTGACGTGCAGTCGGCCAACGCGGCGCCCACCGACCTGCTCGCAGCGGGCCGCGAGAAGCAGCTGCGCTGGGCGGCGGACGGCTGGAGGCAGCGCGCGCGCACGGAGCTGCTGGGGGCCCCCTACCGCTGACATGGCGCCGAGGGTGGGCAGCGCGTTCGTCGACGGCGTCTACGCGCCGCCTGCTCCGGCGAAGAGCCCCTTACCTGCCTGTGCGAATAGCTCGAGGACGGCTTCGCCAGCCCCAGCTCTACCGCGTTCGCCAGGGGCCACGTCGGCTTCGCCAGCCTCGACGCTTCCCGCGGGCTTCACGCCGCCGTCGCCCGGGACGCTGGCGGACGCGCCCTTCGCCAACTTTGGCGGCCCCGTCGCCGCGGAGCGGCCCGCCGAGCGGGGCCAGCCCGTTCACCCCGAACGTGGAGCCCGTGGCGCCGCCGCCCCTCGCGCCCCAGACGCCTGCTGGGCCGCGGCGACCGCGCCCTGCGCCGTGGCAGAAGGGACTTGCCAGCCGCGCGCGGTAGCTGTCGCCGGGCGCCGTGCTGCTGCTGGCGCCGTGGATCAGCCTTCCCAGCTTCTCGCCCACGCTGGCCAAGGGCGTCGGCGCGGCCATCAGCCTACCCGAGGACATCGCCGACGCTGGTGGCGTGCTGGCGCGGGCGGCCACCAACGTCACGGTGCTGGCGATAGATGACGCCGTGGCGGTGGGCCGCGGCTCCCTGTCGGCCCTGCAGGAGTCCCGGGAAGGCGTCGACCTCCTCGATGCCACGGCCAACGCGTCCGGCGGGCGTTTCATCCTGCTCCTCGGCTACCGGATTCGCTGTGGCAGCTGCCTGAGGCGCGGGCCGCGGAGATCTGGGAGGCGCTCGGTCAAGTTGGCCCGACATTACCAACCATCGCCATCTCAGACCAACAGTTTGTCGCGCGAAACCGCTTTGAATTCGAGGCGGCGCTCCTTTATACATACTATGTGGGGCTGCGACCCACGTTGGCGGTTTTCCATTTCACGCCAGTTTGGGCCAATCCTTTGTAGGAATGGATTGGATCTGATATGATCGCGCAGCTTGAACGCATTTCAGATCGAGCGAGGTCAAGCACGGAGGCGGCTACAGACCTCAGCTGGCTGCGCGAACCCCTCCACACGACCGACATCCCCGTCGGCACCTGCCCGCCCTTCTGGTTCCGCCTCTGGATGCACGTGATATCTTCAGTAGAGTTCGCGCGCTTGGCTGGTGGGGGTGGGCTGCAATGGTGACGAGAACATCCGTGGTTGCGATTTGCCATGAAGTTCAGGTCACAAGTGGGTTTCGCCATCAGTGGAGTGTCATCCATCACTGCCTGGCTGGGGAGCTCTGCGAGAGCGGTCGTGATTCTATGCAGTGCTCTGGTTGTCAGGGCACACGTTTTTTCTCGTGTTGGCCTGCCGCTCGCCAGTCCAGCATGCAAATGGCAAATACTCCCGAAGCGGTTGTCCATTCATTCTGCCGTAGAACCTGTGCCATGCCATCGTCCTGTCCGTCCGCGTCTGCCATATCTCGACTCGTCTACGCCCTTAACATGCCCAGTTCTTGGGTGGGTGGGCGGGCTTTCAGAGCATACCGGATCAGCGTAACACGTTCGAGCCACATTATGTTGATGATGGTGATGATGTTGATAATGGTGATGCTGATGATATGATGATTATGATGAGGGGAGGGGATAGGGTCAATGGGGGAGAAGGGAGCAGGAGGAGGAACAGGAGGAGGAGGGGCGGCGGAGGAGGAGGCGGAGAAAGGAGACGCAGCAGCCACCGAGGGTACCAGCTTGACGACATTGGGCCAGGGATCCGACGAATTGGAAAACGATGCCTACGAGAGAGGGGAGGAAACGGAGGAGGGGGAGGAGGAGGAGGATGAGGAGGAGGAGGAGGAGGAGGAGGACCGCTACGTCCTACCACACTCACTGCCGCGGCGGCCGCACCGCGTGCCGCAGCTCATCGGCTTCCCTTTCGATGCTGCCTTACGTCGGGCGTGTCCCTTCACAGGAGGAATATCCGAAAATAGGCAAACATACTCTGGTGACGATTTTCTAAATACGATGTTTTGAAACTGTTTAAGCATTTGCTGAATATTTTTCGTTTATCGTCCAACATCCGCCTGTAGGGAGCATGCTCGAACTGATCCTACCATCCTCACTCCTCGGCGGCCGCACCGCGTGCTGCAGCTCCTCGGTTTCCCTCTCGATGTTGCCAAGGGGCTCGCAGGCCGACCCACGCCGCCCAGCACCCTCAAGACGAACGCGGACGAGCGCATCGCTTGCGCCGAGGACGCTGCCAGCGCTCCCAGCGCTCTGGCCCGTCGCGATGCGCACGCGGTCGGCCGCCCCCCAGTCCACCTGGCCCAGGGCGCCTCACTTCATCGGGCCGTCGGCCCAGGAGCCGCCGAGCTGTCGGCGCCACGGTGCTGGGCCGCAGCCGCGCCAGCGACAGCAGCCGCCGCCGCCGCACCGAAGCCCTCCGCTCGGCGCGTCGGCAGCCGTCTCGGCCATCGCCCATCACCACCGCCATCGCCGTCGCCGTCGCCATCGGACGTGGGGCCGTCCCCCAGGGGTTTCGAGACGTCGCCGCCGCAACCTGCAGGCGCCTCCAGGCGAGGCTCCGCGCCTCCCGTGCCGCGGCGGCTACGCGAGGCCTGCGCTTCGCCTTCGAAGGGCCGCCGCGTTCGCCGCCGACGGAGGCGCGGTCACCGCCGTCGGCGCGCCCACTGTGGCCTTCAAGGCGGCGCGGCTCCCGTGCAGCGTGCAGTGCATCGGCCCAGCGGCGGCGCGACCACGGGCAGAGCCCGAGGTGCCCTGCGACACGGAGTTTGAGCCAGACGGTTGCCAGGTGGGGCAGGGGGGAGGAGCAGGAGGAGGAGGAGGATGGCCAGGGAGAAGCAGAAGCCCCCGATGAGGTTGAAGAGCATGGATACGAGGGAAGGGGGGAGGAGGTGGCAGAGGAGGAGATCGGGGAGGAGGAGGAGTAGGAGGAAGAGGAGGAGGAGGAGGAGGAGGAGGAGGAGGAGGAGGAATGATGAGGGAGGCGCAGGAGGAGCAGGAAGATGCAGCAGCCAACGAGTAGCGCGAGGAGGAGAAGGAGGAGGAGGAGGAGAAGCAAGGAGGAGAGGAATGAAAGAGGGGAAAGGGGGGAGAGGTATGAGGAGCGCAGATGTAGGAGATGGAGGAGGAAGAGGAAGAGGAGGAGCAGGAGTGGGGGCGAACAATAGTTGCCTCGCTGTACCGCCCTGTCTTCTTATGGAGGTGTGCAGGTTAGGTTATGATTGGAGGCTGGAAGAGGAGGAGGAACATGCTCGACGCCGTCACCCTCATGGGCGTCTTCCAGGCCGCCTTGCTTGTGCTGCTTCTCTGGACACCACGGATCATCATCCCATGGCATGAGCGCAGCAGCAGGAGGAGGGTGGCGCAACAGGATGGCATGCACACGAGGAGGAGAAGCAGCAGCCTCCGAGGAGGAGGAGCAGGAGGAGGAGCGAGGGGAGATAGGACAAGAAGAAGGCGGAGGCACACCACGCAAACTAAGGAGGAGGCCATCCAGCTGACGTGCATCGGGGGCACGGCCCGTCCCCAGACCCCCGACGTCATGTTTCTTTTGTTTGACGACGTCGACCCCCTGAGGTCTCGACATATTCCCCAGGACCGATTTTTCATTGAGGGCCCCCAGGGGCTGAAAATAACGAAAAACATCCCGTCGTGTTTTTGTTCATGTGTGTGTGTGTGTCCGCCTGGTTCCGAGGCTTTGCCTCCTCCCGGCCTCGTTCTGAAGCTGCGCCCCCCTTCTCCTCCCCCTTCTCTGCGTAATTCAAGCTCTGCGCGGCCCGCTTAGCTTTGACCAGAAGAGGTGCACTCTCGACCCGCGAATCAAAACAAATCGTGTTTTTGTTCATGTCTCGGGGGACCTGGGTCCAGAGCCGCTCAAAACGCAGCCGGGATCAGACCTCGTCGAGCTCTCCGAGTTCGGGTTTGGGACGCCTCCCCCCTCCTGCCGGGGGCGCGCCCGCCGACCGGGGGGCCTCGTCGGCCTCGGCCTCGGGAGAGGGCACCCCGAAGTGGGCGAGCCCGCGGACGAGGCCGAACCCTGGCATCGCTCGGACGTGTGCATTTTTTCTCGGTAGGGACCATCGAGGACCATCCTGGATCATCGAGCAAAAAAAAGCGCACGAAACCGAAACATGCACGGGAAATGGACGTCCGAGCGACGGCAAGTTGCCCCGAAGCAGTCCCGGGGCAGGTCCATAAGCGACGGGGCTCTTCCTGAAGGTCGCCGTGGTGCTCAGAGAGAGCGTGTTCGTGCGTCGAGAGGCCGTGCGCCGCCTGCGGTAGAAGGACGAGGAGGATGAGGAGGAGGCGGAAGAGGAGGAGGAGGAGGAGGCAGAGCCCGCCGAGGAGTGCAGCCTGACTGGCACGGAGGTCCAACAGCTGCGCGAGCTTTTCCTGGAGAGCGCCTCTGGCGACCAGGGCCTTCGACGAATCCCAATCATACGCAAAGCAATTGTAATAATACGAACCGTCACATCAGCATCGTAATACTCATCGTGCAGGTAGTAGTGACAACAGTACCAACACGAAATTCACAGTGCACAGAACTCGTCATCAGCAGCATCATGCATCATCATCGTCGTCGTCATCAGCATCACCCTCGCCATGATTGATGTCACCATCGCAATACTTATCAACATCATCGTCATCATCATGAGCAGCGTCAGCATCGTCATCATCACCAACACAATCGCCATCACCACCTTCATTACCACTATCATCGCCACCATGCCATCAACATCAGCAGTAGCATCATCATATGTACCATCATCATGATCATTAGCATCAGCCATCGTCAGCATCATTATCATCAACTCCCCATCATTATCACAACCATGAGCATCATCATCATCATCATCATCATCATCATCATCATCAACATCAACATCAACATCAACATCAACATCAACATCAACAACATCGTCCGACGGCCGTCTGTTTACGACGTTCTCGGGGATCCTGATGGTGTTTGAGCCTCGAGCTGCTTTCCAGCTCTGGCGGGCGGAACACCGGTCGGCAGTAAACGTTGGGCGGATCGATGATTGCAGGCAAGTGGCCGAACTGGGCCTTGGACGTCTCCCGATCTGCCACAAAGGGCCCAAAAGGTGCACGAAAGGGGTATGCTGTCCTTGAACGTAGGTGTTTCTGGATTCCCAGATCCCAGTCTACTTCAAGTGCCTTGCTACTTCAAGAATCGATATGCTTGTGCTGTGCTTTGTTATTCTCCGGGGGGGGCTGAGCCCAATCTACTTTATCCGCATTCATACTTACTGTTTTCACCGACCTCCTCCGACCGACATGCACGTTTCTTCAACCCACGCTGATAGCCCCCTGTCAACGAACACCCGAACAGCGGCCTGGCCTCGCCGAGAGCGTTCCTGGGGGTGCCCAGAGGATTCGTCTCGAGTGGCCGCCGAAGGCCCGCGCAGTGACCCGAAAGCCAAACAGGTAACCTCTTGGAGAACAAGACGGCCGTTTTTGTTCGCCGTTCTCAGCCCTCAGCAGGCCCCAGGATCGTCACGAGACTGCTCAGGATCTGAGCTGCCTGGATTGACTCGTTTTGTGACGTTGAACTTTTGTTTTCACTGTTGCATTTCTCGTGACGTCGGATCTTCGGGTCTGGAGGGTGCCTGCAGGCGACGGCTGCATGACGACGAAGGACCTCTGGCTCCTCTTCCGGAACATCTGCCCGCTCGGCGACAGGACCGCGCGTGGCCACTCAGAGGGCGGTTTCGCTGCAGACTTTAGACTCAGGCAAGTATGCTTGCACGGCATCTCCGCCCCACGCCACCCCAGCTCTCCGCCCTCCGCCGCCTCCTCGGACAACGCTGGGCCGAGAAGGCGTGCAAGTGAGCCCCAGCTCGCGGGAAGTCCACAGTTCCTGTTGGGACTCGCAACGCCCCCCCCTTCCCACTCTCCTCACCACCCACCAAACCACCCCAACCCAACCCGAAGGGTCAAATTTACCCTCGATTTCTAGTGGGGGGGGGTCCGGGAACATCGAAAAAACACATATGGAGCCCGTACCCCCCCAACCCGAAATTCGGGTCTTCGGGTTGGGTTGGGGTGGTCTGGTAGGTAGTCATCTCCCCATCCGTGCACGTAACTTCGCGGGAATCTCAAGAACATCGGCCTCTTGGAGCCCGTCGCGGTCCCGCGGCGCAGAGCGGTCCGCGTGCGCGTCGGGTCCTTGGCTTCCAGCCCTCCTCCTCCTCCTTCTCCTTCTCCTCCGCCCCCTCCTCCTCATCCTCCTCCTTCTCCTCCTCCTCCTCCTCCTCCTCCGCCTCCTCCTCCCCTCTCCTCCTCCTCCTCCGCCTCCTCCTCCTCCTCCTCCTCCTCCTCCTCCTCCTCCTCCGCCCCCTCCTCCTCATCCTCCTCCTTCTCCTCCTCCTCCTCCTACTAATCCTCCTCATGGGCTTTCCCCAGGATCCCTCCCCGTGGGACGTGCGCTGGACCTCTCCAGATCTTAACCCGCGCATTCCCCCTAAAGACTTTAGAGTTCGGCACCCCAGACTTCTCCCAGGGCTCCTCGGGCTTCTCAGAGCAGGGAGGGGTTCGGTAGCAAGCCATGGGAGCCTCGTATACCCTCTTAATTCTGTCTTCAGCGTCGATTAGTGTCTGGGAGTCGATGAGACAGCGCCCACTTAGCGTCGATTCAGCGTCGATTTGGCGTCAACGAGCGTCGATTCACAGAAGCCGACAAGATGGTACGGGAGGCCCCCATGAGTTGCCACCGAAGAGGGGGGTACGAAGCAATCAGGCCGTCCACTCGGAGTCTAGAGGAAGCACTTCGTGTTGTCGAGAGCGCCAGCGGCACATCACTGGCCGCGCTCCGCGGGAGTTGGGCGTCTGTGAGGTGCGCCTGGCTGAAGTCGCCTCGGGTTTTGCACGGGCAGGTGGAGTCTCGGATGCGTCTCTTGGCTCTCCTGGGGGCGCCTGGGACCGCAGCGGAGATGCCGGAAGTCCCTCGGGGATGTCTCGTGGCCCTCTGGGAGAGTGCCGGGTTGGGATGTTGAGGGAGAGGAGTAGGGGTACAGTCCGAGAAGAACTGTTTGGAAATGGATTTCGCGCTCGCGTGGAGGCCACGTTCGTCGCGGCGTCACCATTAGGGTTGCAGTGATAGTGAATGCCTTGCGCGAAAGCGCGATGCCCAGATTTAGTCCAATGCGTGCGGCCGTTTCGGTTCCATTGCTGTGCATGGCCTTGCGTTGCATCGCACGTGGTCGCATTGCAGTGCGTCGCCTTATTTTCGCGCAACCACACACATACCACCACGCACGCGCGCACGCGCATCACCAACCACTACGCACGCGCGCACACACACACACACACTCACACACAATCACATACACACGCCGCCGCCACCACCACCACCACGCACGCCACCACCACACGTACATTCTACCCCATGATCCTGCCAGACGCGGCCCCTGTCGGAGTCACAGTTCTGCTACGACACGCGTCCGCGGTTAGAGAAACAGCAGCGCCATTGTAAGGGGTGGTAGGGAGAGTTAAGACGTCAGCTATGACCCGAGCGCACCTAGCTTGTTTTCCCCCCTCTCCCTCGCATTGAAAAATGTTCACGAGCTCGCTCGTAGACTCGCGGATGTGCTCGGCGCCGAGGGTTTCGAGGCGATTTGAACCCTTTGAGGCGCGCGACTGCGTTCGGCGCCGAGGGTTTCGTTGCACTTTGAGACCATGTGAGACTCGCGGATGTGCTCGGCGCCGAGGGTTTCGGGGCCTTTTCAGACCCTCTGAGACTGTTTCAGACCGCTTTGAGACCGCCATCGGACGCGTCCGGTGTGTGTGTGTGTGTGTGAATGTCTACCATGCCGTGCAGATTCTGAGACTCATCCGACTCTCATTCTTTAAAATAGTAGATGAAGAGTCGGACATTCTCCAGGCGGTTCGAGCGCGGACGGGGCCGCCGCCGAGCGGATGGGGCCGCCGCCCAGGCGCGATCCAAGCGGTGCAGAATGTTATGCATCCTTTTGGCCAACGTCGGCTCGACGGGCGTGCAGCGCAGGATGTGACTGATGCGACTTGCCGTCCATATGATGTGCATTCAAAAGCTTCCATGCGAAGAGTGGAGCATTTCGTTTCCCATGTTTTCTTCGACTGTAGTAGGGGGAGGAAAGCGACGACGAACCTTGCACGAGCACGAGCATACGGACAAGGAACGATGAGGATGAGGATGAGGAAATCGATGAGCACATTAAGAAGGAATGGAGGCGGAGGAGGAGGAGGAGGAGGAGGAGGAGGAGAAAGAGGAGGAGGGGGAGGGGGAGGAGGAGGAGGAGGAGGAGGAGGAGGAGGAGGAGGAGGAAGGAGGAGAGGAGGAGGGGGGAGGAAGGAGGAGGAGGAGGAGAGAGGAGTGGGGGATCATATGAAAGGGCACAGTTTGGGGCCGATGGGGCAGGACTAGGAGGGGAACGGAGAAGAAAAGGGGAGGATGACAAATGGAGGGAGCATGACAAATGGAGGGTCGGCCTGCGGAGGAGGGGAAGGACCAGGAGGGGAATGGAGGACCAACCTCCTCCTCCTCCTCCTCCTCCTCCTCCTCCTCCTCCTCCTCCTCCTCCTCCTCCTCCTCCCTCCTCCCTCCTCCCTCCTCCCTCCTCCTCCTCCTCCTCGCCTCCCTCCTCCCTCCTCCCCTCCTCCCTCCTCCCCCTCCTCCCTCCTCCCTCCTCCCTCCTCCCTCCTCCCTCCTCCCTCCTCCCTTCTCCCTCCTCCCTCCTCCCTCCTCGGAGGGGAAGGGAGGGGAAAGGAAGGACGGCAAAAGGAGGGAGAAGAGGACTGATGCAAGAAGGACCGGTCTGTGGAGGAGGGGCAGGACTAGAATGGGGGGAGTGGAGGGGAAGGGGAGGATGACCAAAATAGGGAGTGGAGGGATCACATGAGAAGGAGCAGTCTGTGGAGGACGGGCCTGATCGGGAAAGGGATGCAGCAGGGAAGCGTCGTCGTGTTGTCCGAGGGGCTTCGTCCTCGGCCGGCGCTTCCCCCTCTCGTGCTGCCTGCGTGGCCGCGCGCTCGGTCGGTAGGCCGGCTGGGTGTCTTGTCGGTGGGCTGGCTGGCTGCTCGTCTGCCCGGCTTGCCGTCTGTCACCAGCCTCGAACTTAGCCCTATCCCTAAGATTGACACGCCAAAAGGCGAGGACAATCTTAGGGATGCGCCCTGAAAAATTGAGGGAATCCCTAAGAGTGGCATTGTGATGAGGCGATGCCCAGCTTAGGGATAGGGATATGTTGCAGGATGGTAAGTCTGAGCTGATGGTCTGCGGTTGCTTTGGGCTGCTTGCTGGCTTGCTGGTTGCGCGCGCCTGTGATTCAGGGGGGGAAGTTAGGGGAACGAACAATGGCATAAACATCAGAACTCGGAGGTCCGCGCGGATTTCTCGGATCCGCGCTGGACCCCCCTGCCTGGCGCGCGGAGCGCGCCAGGGGCGGTGCCGGAGGCGCCGCCAAGGGCGTCCAGCGCGGATCCGAGAAATCCGCGCGGACCTCCGAGTTCTGATCCTTCTGCCGTTGTTCGCTCCCCGAGAAGAGGCACCGATGCCGCCACCGATGGTCTCGTTCTCCCCTCTCTGTGGGGCCTCCCGCGGGAGGCCCTCCGTCGCCGCCGCGGGCTTCTCGCCCCGAGATCGTAGGGGTCGGAGCGCGCCCCGGGAGAGGTCCCGGGAGAGGTCCCTGGGGAGTACACCTTAGGCGATGCTTAAGAAAACTCAAGTTTTCGGCCAGAATCTCGATTATTCTTAACGTTGCAATGTAAATCCTAAGATTTTGATAGAAATGTTGGGTTTTTATTTCAAGTTCTGAGACCATGAATTTCTTAACCCATGATTTCTTAACCATTTCGCGTGGTGTAGCTCCCATTCGACATGGCCGCCCAGTCAGCCAACATCATATGGAGCAGTTTCGTCCAGCGTTTTCTCCTTCCTGCGCCTCTTCTGCGGGTCCGTGGGGGCCGAGCTGTGGGGGTACCTTTGGGTTCCCGCAGTCGTGACGCAGTGAGTCAGTATCGTTTGACCGATCCCCGTCCCCATGCCGAGCCCCACCATCTCACCACTCCAGTTAGGGATTGGCCCCTCGAAGACCGCAGGGAACCGTCTGCATCCCCATCTCGGGGGTGTATCGGCCAGCTGGGCCCAGGCCACGCCAGTGGGGACAGGGACCGATGAAACGGTGCTCACAGCATACGAGCATTCGCGGCCTCGGGAACGCACGCCCCAAGCCAGGTTCGAGGATCCGTGGCCGCAGGTCCAGGGCGCCATTCTTGGGAACTGGCGGGCGGGCGAACAGCCGATGCCCAGATCGGCGGCGAGCGAGGGGGGGGGGAAGTGAGAAGGAGCAGGCCTTCCCTGAGATCCTGGCGACGCAATTTTTCCGAGCTGAGCGTTGTCGCTCAATTTCGGGCCCTGGGACCATCGCAGATCGATCCAGCTCGAAACATTACATCGAAAAATGGGATCCCGGGGTCTGGTCATGTTTTTTTGCGATGTTGGTTTCTTTCTTCTGTAATGTCGATATCATGGTTCCCTGAAGGCGGCGGAACTTCTCAGAAACCCTCCGGTATTCTGAGAGGTTCGCTGCGTCTTCGGGGGAGGCCTAGAAGACTGTTCAGAAGGCTGGCGGGCTTCCGAGCCTCCTGGGGAGGCCCGCCCCTTTTCGCTTCCCCCCCGCGCTCGCCGCCGAACACACACCTCCCA